TGAAATTGAAATGCAATAATCATACCTAATCAAATACAAACCCAACAGAAGCTAGCAAATCAGAACCGGAAAATTTGAGCCGTTACCAAAGATCCTTTAGTTCTAGTTCATTTATTTGTTTATTATGTCAATAAATAAGACTCGAATAGTTCAATGGTTAGGTAAGGTTAAAAGGGGGCATTCTCATGTACATGTTAGTAAGTTACCGTTAAGCGTTCGGCTTGGAAAATCTACTAAAAATTATATAGCCATGGTCCACCATTAACAAATTTTTCTAGGTCTTCAAAGTCTCCGGCTGTTTCACAATCTTTTGAAGCTAACATGGGATAATGCTATATCTTCAACGAGAAAACCATAAAATCATAAAGATATATGGACTCTATTTATGCTAAAAATGTTCAAAAACTCATATGCATAGTGATTCGTTAAACGTCTTGGTCATGAATACTTATTTTTACTTTGAAGGAGTAATACTGAAAACAAATTATAGTAATCATGATCGTGAATAATTCCCACTTTACTGTATTACTAAAGATTTGTCCATTCTATATTACTTACGTAATACGAGTATAGCGAGTGATACATTCTATGAGATAAACGGTTTGTTAGCCAAACACCCTGTATATACACCCACATATACATGTGGTGGGTATATGAAAAAGTCTTTGCCTACCCCACCTGACTATTATACTTATATATTATTATATTATATAATGCGCTCTAGCATCCATCTAGCGACAACAGCTACTTTTATTGTAATAGCAATGATGGATGGCTGATTATATCAAAACATACAATCTTACTTATTTTATACTTACTATATACTAAGTATTTTTGTGTAGATAGTACGTATATACTTGTATATAAGATTTCACAATCAGTATTAAATCAATATGTATGGACACAGAAAAATAAACGTGATATAAATAGGACTGTGCAATGGTTTTCAGGAGTCGACTGCAAATGTAATAATTATTTCCTTGCACCATTGGTAAATTGGCAATAGCTCTTCTATTACGCTCTTCAACTAATAACATAAATACTTATTTCAAGCAAATTTATTGATGATTTCCAACATCCTTTCATTTTAACGGACTAAATTGACTTTTCTGTAAAAATAATTAGAATAGAGCTCTAGAGTTATTTTCGTCTTTTTACATTCTTACTATGCCTCATAGTGAACACTTTACTCCTCCATATACTAATATGTTGATCCTAATCTAATGATTTATTAGAGAGCATTTTTTTCTTATTTTCAAATTGGTCATAAATGGTCACCTAAGAGTGATAAAAATTTATCAGATATGACTACAACATTCTCATATTCAATTGTATGACAGCTATATGATCTAGCGGTGTGGCAAGTTCGGTTTCGGTACGTATCCTATGAATTATAAAGAAGGAGCAGTAATTGAAAAGGACACTATCTTAACGTAAATATTTAGCCATTTTCTTGTTTAATTCTAAATTAAAACAATAACTGATTTAGATTGATTTTGCCATCCTCAATGAACTTACAAATGCTGGGTATGACAAATCTTGAACTAAATTTTTTTGGAACACTTTAATCGGAAGAATTTATTAAAAAGTCCGAATGTAAATACATACATATGTTACACTTCGATCCCTTGACATACATACATACATACATACATACATACATACATACATACATACATGTATGTGAATAGCATGACGATACAAATTTCCGTCTATCGGGAACTTTTGAATCATACCAGCTAGGGACACCATACTTGATATGTAGAGTTATCTAATCTAGATCAAGTCTATTACAAACCATACATAAATGGGTTCACTATCACTCATAGTTCAGTAATTTTTTGGTTTATTGCAAAATCCGAATATTAACTTCTTCATCGAGTGTACTTCAGTCAAGATAAAATGTGGGCTGGGCTTTTTAAATACATACCATGAAATAAATAACTAAAAAATGTTGCACAAATTCGGGCCTCTTGAAAACCCCAGACCCTCTTCACCACCACCTCCACGAGCCTGGGATATTAGGTAGAAGGGTAAGGTCGGCGGTAGGACTTTAATTTTTATACATACATACATGTGTACATATGTAGATGTGAGATCCCCTGATGATAATATTGACCCATTCAGATCATTTGTATTCCAGAGTATGTATTATCTAGGGTTACTCTCCCTCAACCCCACCTTATTTATGTATGTATATGCATATACATAATAGACTTACACGTTCATACATATATGGATGTCCACGTACATATGTATGTATGTATATGAGTGCATGCGCGACGCTTTATACAAATGTGTGTATGTGCATGAAACGGGGCCTCTGCGCTTCTATTGATGTAACGGAACACTTATCTGTGCGTGTGTTTTGAGCTCTGCGATTGCCCCGTTACGCGCACACAGATACACATGCAGTAACAAAGCTAATAGTACATACATATGTACATTTGTATGTATAAATGTTTTTATGTAACGTGTTCTTTTGTGTGCTTTGGGAACGCGGAAAGCCTTGCGGAGCTCATATACATATGTACATATGTATATGTACATTTAAATGCTCGAATATGGGAAGACCCACACAGCTGACTAATTAGTATAGACCTCAGAAAAAGTTCCACAAATACACATACATACATACAAATATTTCTATTTTTAAACATTTACACATACATATGTACATATGTATGTATGTATGTATGTACATACATATGTATGTGCCACAATTTGACTAAATTTAGCCAACGTCGTTTTTAGCAGATGAAAAGCTGGACTTAGACGTGTGTGAGAGGAAGCGATGGCAGTAAAGAGAATAACGAAGTGGAAAAACAAAAGAGAGGGAGAGAGAGAGAGAGAGCGAAGAATGTGTTATTTACATACATATGTATGTATGTATGTATTTATGTTGTCTGATATGGCGACGGCAGAGGCAGCTGCTGCTTCTGTCTGCCGCCTGAAACGGGGCCTTTCTTTGAGCACACAGCGCGAAAAACGAAACTTCTTTTTTACAAACACACACACAAATATATACATATGTATGTATACGTATATATGTATGTATTTATACTAGAGAGAGCTGGCAGCTACATTTTCCCCCTGTTGATACCCAGCACCGTACCACAACGCACATTACACGAGTGCTTTGGTAGTAGAAGAGGAAGAAGCCGCGACTGAAAATGCCAATGATGGAATTCTGTGAGCGGCTGGGATGTATGTTTAGGTGGAGGTGGAGGTGTGGCTGTTAATATGAGCCACTGCCAAAAATAGAGAGACGCCCCCGCTCTGGCTTTGCAGCGTCACTGCCCGCACACACACACACGCGCACACACAGCCACATACATACATACATATACGGGCTCATTTTGACCCGCGCTGCTGCAACAAACCACAACAACAATAATAATAACAACAACGAATAGCGTCCGGCATTTTCATCGTCGTTAGCGTCTCTGCCATCTTCTCTTCATCATCATCGGCAGCTCTAGCCACAAATACATACGCGCTTATGTGTGTGTGTACATAGCTTAAGCTTCGTTTGCACAGTGGGCCAATGGTTGTAGTCATTACGGGAGTAGAATCCGGTAATAATTTGTTATTTATAAAAGAGAGTTGTGTTTAAAAGTACTTCACTACCTGAATTCAGGTAGGGATTTATTCTCTCGCCTACCGAAGTACAGTCGGGCCAAAAGTAGCTTCTACTTCTGTAGACACTACCCCTTTGACTATAATGATCAAATGAAATAAAAAAATGGAAGCCACACATTTGTTTTAGCAAATGTACATTTAAAAAAGGAAAACTTTATACAGGGTGAGCCATCTTTTATGTCGGTATGTAAACACTGAATATCTGAAAATAAACAACCGATTTTCAAGTATGAGATATTTTATTTAATTTGGTTCTGTACAATTTCTTGAACTGAGGTTTTCAACACTGGTCTACTCAAGTCAATCGGTTCACTAATGACAAAGCCATTCAATATCTACACACCGACATAAAAGATGGCGCACCCTGTACTTCTTATGGATTTGTCGAAAATAATAAGAGAAAATTGGTTAATACTTATTGTAATAACTATTTATACTGTGGAATAATTTTTGTTTAAAATGTTAATTTTTAATATTGGTCCCGGCTTTTACATAAAACATATTCTACATGCGGATACAAATTATGTATTTTTTTTTTTTAAGACATTGGTTGAAACAATTTTAAAAATATTCAAGTAACAACAAATAAAAAAAATTCAAATTTATGGTTAAACGAAGTCAAATGAAAATCATTAGACATTAGGGAACATATGTATGTATGCATGTAGCTACATGCCGTAATTTATCAATAATATATTCTTAGCTATAAATCAGAATTGTTGCCCCACTGTCGCTGTCTGCCTAGCTAGCTAGCTAGTCGATAGAAGTGCACAATGGGGTTGCAAGGTGTTAGGAGCGGGCGGAGGTGGTGGGCGCAAAACAACAGCAACAAGAGCAACGAACAAAGCAACAACAACACGAGCAACAGAAATCGACAATTCGGCAAAGTTCGGTTGCATGTTCGTAAAGATGGGTGTGATAGACCAGAAGGACGTTGGGAAAGACAGGGGGATGGCAGCACAGCACGCTGGGCTGACACCGAACGTTGACGTCGCGTCTCTGCCACCGCTACTACTGTTGTTGTTGTAGTCGCTGCAGTGTCTGTTTGACTGACTACGAATATTTTGTTTTTCTTTTCTCATATATACATACATATATGTATATATATGTATACATTTATATATATGTATATATATATATATATATATATGCACGTATGTATGTGCATGCGGGGCTTGTGTGTATGTATTATTCACAGATATGTATGTTTATACATCCATATATACCGAGCTGCTGCGCTGCTGGCGTCAACGCTGCGCGCGCTCTGTATGTGTATGTATGTGTGCCGCACACATTTTTCAGTTGACTTCGTTGAAATAATTTTCGTAACAACGATCACACTCGTTTGTGTATTGCGAAGACGGGAGGACGTCGTCGTATAGTCGGAGACCAAAAGCAGCGCGGACAACGGAGCGTTTTTTTTAGCGTCGTCGCGTCGGCGGTTTGTGTAAAATATAAATAAATAATCTAAAATAAAATAACAGGCGCCTTAGCAGAGCCGAAACAAATACAACAAATAATCTTGGAATCGTATCAAGATTAAATGCCATGATAATATTCAATTGTTGTAAGTGTAAACAAATAGTGTATAAGCGTATAATATACGTAGTTTTATTATGTTATTAAGAGCATGAAAAGAAATTCGCAACATACCGAAAGCAAAAGGCACAAATAAAAAACATTGTACGGTTGCCGCAGTTGCTACAAAAATATACAACAACTATAACAACAATAACAGCGGACAACAACAACAAAACAAACAACAACAAGAAGTGCGCGCGAAAGAAATAGCACGATATACAATAAATCCCAAAAGCGGCAGCAACAACAACACAAACGCATTGGTTTTGTTAAGTGAAGTGTGTGTGTGTGTCCGTGGGTGGAAGCGAGCGCGTCTATCACGGCTTGCCCGTTGGCTGGCCAGTGTTGCCACATAGTATTAAATGCGGGGGAGAGAAAAGAGTTGCAGCCGATAACACATGCGTCCAAATTTTTTTGCGATTGCTGTTTGGCTTCCTGCGTGTGTGTGCATGTGCTCTGTGCGTTGCTGTTTTGTTTAATTCATGTTATTCCTTAGCACATTCACTCAAAATGTATTAGAAACACAAAATCAAACTGCAAAAGCAGCAACAACAACAATAGCTTCACAGCTGCGCCACGGCAGTAACACCAACTGCATCATTGGCAGAAGATTAAAAAAACAACAAAGAAGAAGAAGAAGCAAAAACACCGGTGTTCGTGTGTGTTGGAGCGTGAGCGTGTGCTTGTGTGTTTGTGGATGGCAAGGAGGCAACAACAACATCAGCAGCAGTGTGCACTGTGAAAGAAGTAGCAACAGCCCCGCCACACAACAAACAAGTCACCACCATGTCCGCCTCCGCCACTGAGGATGTACAGATCACAAGCGTTGTGGATGGCAATGGTCAGAAGCTGCCGATCCATGGCACAAGTATCGGGAGTATCATTACTCCCGTTAAGCAGGAGCGTCAGGATGACGCCGAAATACGTGAAATGGCGGCAAAAATGAAGGAGATGCAGAAGCAACAGGCCGCCCAACAGGCGAGTCGTCAGGCCGCCATGCAGCATGCCAATGGCGGTGGAGCCGGTGCCATGCAACCGCCCATGACCAATGGCAATGGACAGACTAACATAATGAGTTATTTGTCGCGTCATCAAAAGATGCCAAATGGCACATTGCAAGTTGTGCCCGCACTGGCATCCAATGGACGCGCCAATGGTGCTATTATATCCAGCGAGGGCAACGAGAAATCCATCACAATACCCAAAACGTCTGTCACCAATACGGGGCCCTGCGACGAGGAGTCAATCAAGGGTCACTTTGGCTGGTGGCAGTTCGGCAAGGTCTCAATACCCTATATATATAGGCAATCAGAGAAATATTGCTCAGTGCGCATGATCGAACTGAAGCTGTTGTGCAAATACCTAAACTACCTGCATCCGGACATCTATAGCAGCTGTACTTGCGTCCGCAGCTACTATATCACCGATGCCGAGGCCCGCCTCTTTATCGAGATCAATCATAAGCACTGTGATGGAGAGTTCGGACGCGATATATTCACACAAAAGGATCTGGTGGTGCGATTAAGTGATGCGGCCAAGTTCCATCAGTTCCTGGAGATCTGTTATCGAAAACTGGTGTCCGGTAGCAAGACGCCGCCAGAGAAATGTGGCTTTATACGCATCAACAAGGAGTCTGTGGTGCCCTATACGGTGCGCAACAATCAACAGGTAGTGCCGCTGTTCTATTTCGAGGGCGAGACTGACAATCTCAAGACCAAGGCTGAGGCTCTCAATGGCTGGGATCTCGCCTATCTGAAATTTTGTTGCAAAGTCCAAGGCATACGCAACGAGCTCTTTTCCAGCGAAAGTGTGGCAGTCATCTCGCTAACAGATATCAAGAGTTACTTCCCCAATGGTACCGAATTCGAGGACTACTGGCCCAGCAAGGTCGTTGACTCCAATCTCCTAATTGGTAATCGCACCAATGTCAATAACTCGGTCAATTGGACTCGCCAGCCCTCAGCACCGCCACCCAAGGTTGCTGGTGGTGTCTCTAGTAGCGGCGGTGGTGGTGGGGGCGGAGCCGGCGGCGTAAAAAATGCTCAACAACAACACTCAGCCGCCGTGAGCACTGCCGTAGCACAGCAGCAGCATCTGATGAAGCAGCGAGCAGCGGCGGTAGCTGCCGCGGCAGCAAGCGCAAATGGAGCCGCCACCCCATTCTCCTCACAGGCAGCGGCAGCAGCGGCTGTGGCCGCCTTCAGCTCACAGAACGCCGCAACAGCCGCTATGTTGCAAGGTGGGCCCGGCAATAGTCGCATGTTGGCCGCCCAGGCCACCGTTCAGGCCTTGGCCACCAGTGGTTGGATGTCTGCGCAGAATAATTTGCCACAGCTGCATGCACAAATGTTGGTGAGTAAATCACACCTCTCTCTCCCAACGCTCTCCCCACTCTCTCTCGCGCTCTCTCTCTCTCTCTCTCTTTGTCTATCTTTGCCTGCTGAATGACTGATTTGTGTACATTTTTTTGTAATGAGAATTTCGCTTATTATTTTCTTGAAAAATTAGATTTCTGTTAGTTATAAAAGGCATTATTCTCTAAATAATAATATAATATCTATTTCATATATTTTTAATTAAATGCTTTTTATTGGTCTTAGTGGCAAATATTTGTAGACAAGAACTAATGAATTGAATCGCCTAGCTTGGTGTGCTCGAATACTGGAATATGTTTATAATTGGAATTATGAAAATATTCCAAGCTGAAATTCTTAAGTGCCTGTCAAGGGAAATCAGCTTTCAAATCACAAACTAAACAACAAACTAATTAATTCTAGATTTCGAATATAACTACTAAAAGATATACACATGTTCTATGTGAGTGTCTAGAAATATCATTTTTGATAAGAGGTTTTTGTTTTTTTAATTCATAACATTATTATCACCGAAGTTAAAATGATAGACCAATTAACTTTAATTGATCGTTACGAGCAGGACGGGTTCGATCAGCTGAATTGGTTATTCAACTTAAACGTTGCACAGAGAAAGTTTGACAATTTAGTTTTCTATATAAGGGTGACATGCATGTATGTATGTGTGCAGAATATTTGATTTTTGCTCAATGGGTGTGCTATGGGTTTATTGATCTTTTAGAAAACTACGATCAGACGCGTTGATTGTTTATTCACACAAATAAAACTTTTTATATAGAAATCTCTGAAAGATAAATACTCTTATTAAGTCGAATGGCATGTAAAAACCATTTAAAAATACGCCATTTTTAAACACTGCAGCTCACACTTAATCCATAAATTAGCCGTTATTTAATTGCTCTCCACACATCTGTCTGCATTTATGTTTGGATAGGTCAGGGGCCAAGGATTACAAAAATGCAACTGTGGCGATATAATCACAAATATTCCAGAAACACAAGTTTTTCACATAATTCGCATGCATACATATCTCTATTTATGAAAGAAAGTCGCGACGTAAACACACAAATGAGCTGTAATTTCATTCATTTCGCTAGCCCATTAATTTGCTGTAACTGTACTTTGCACAACACAGCCGATATGCATGTACTATATAGCTGATCTTTGATCACCATTTATTTATGCGTCCTAGTTGGCCGATGATGCATTCGATAATAATTACATGTAATCGTATTCCTTTTTTGAAATGTTTTAAATAATGGCACATTTTACTTCAAGGGTCGGCCAAGTACTATAAGTAGTTATTAAGCTATCTTTTCGAAAACATGATCTAATGCGAGCGAGTGTGGAATTATTTTTTCGATTATTGCGGCTGTCTTGTGGTAGCCCTGGTAGCCCCGCAACTTCCCATTGTTGCATTTATTCAACTAAAATTCAATTCAATACTCGCAGCTTGTTTGTGGCAAATGCTTTTAGGCCAGAACTCGCCGCCACTTATAATTAGTGTGGCCGATGGCAAATAATTGGCACGTCTGACCGCAGCTTCAGTCTTGCGTATGTGTACATGCGTGCATGTGTGTGAAGCGTAAAATGGTGTAATGCAATAAAAACGCTTAACTCGTTACTATTACAACGTGTCCGTTTTCCATTTTTCATTAAAAACGATTGGATATTTTAATAGGATTTGTCAAATGCATTTATCAACACAATATTGACGCGCTCTCCCTCGTTACTCATTCCCTTTAGCGAGAATATGTATACATATGTATTGGGTATGTATGTATTGGTATGTACGAATGTGTGGGTTGTAATTACGTATGTGTTGACAAATTTTGAAGGTTTGGAAAATGCAAACACACACTTTCTGATCAGGAAAATGTAACTTATGTGTGTATAGTAATGGCAATATTTATGTACTGCAGATCATTATAAGCTCCCAAACTTGAAACAATAACTGTTCACACTTCTGTTGGCTGCCCAGGTCCTATAATTGTAGTGCTTTATTCGATATTTTTCCTATTTAATAAATACACACGTAAGCGGTCTATGGCTATTTGGCTTTGTCCACAATTTACCTATTTGGGGTATCAAATTTCAAAAATTATGGGAGCTTTAAAAACAGAATTTGGCTTGAGACACACGTAGGATTAATGACCTAAATGCAAATATTACTGAGTTCCATAATTCTGGGGCCTATTGAACGTATTCCCTGCAGAAGTTGATTCTAAAAAGTCTTTTTTCGCACTGATATATAGTTTGAACGGGCTACCCGGCCATTAAAATCATAAACAGTTTCTTTTAGAAACTTTCTACACTGCAATGCTTAGCCAGATCTTCCTGATCTTCGAATGCAAGTGTCGGGGCTGAAAGTTGCAGAGATGCCTTAATTTTCGCGTCCATTCAACTTGCTCCATAATTGATCTATTTGAACGAATGAATTCCAAAAATTACGAGAGCTACGTAAACACACGTATAGTCTGGTAGTAATAGGGGAGAAGAAGAAAAAACACCACAAACTTGTCCTGCTTAAGGGAGTGTTAGAAGAACATGAATATCCAGCTTGGTGTTGGAAATGGCTATAACGACTCAACTCGTCATACTAATAAAGAACATATATGTATACTTTGTGGGGCCTGCCACACCTCTTTTTAGGTGTTACATTCGTATCTAACTGGTTTGACCTTTTTGGGTACAGACGGAATTTTCTTTTCTTTAAATAATATACATAAGTATCTGAGCTTACTGATATATGTATGTGCGTTAAATTCGATTCAATGCAAGGCAACCCATTTGTTAAAGCATCATTCTTTAAATTTGCAATCTCAAAACTATGTCAGAAGTACAGATAGTGTCGCGACATACTGACTTATAGCCTTACAAGCTGGCGAGAATGGGGAGACAAGTTTTAACAAAGTCCTACTGGGGTGGCAGTCTGTCGGCTAGAAATGACTGCAGCCATAAATAGTGGCAATTTTGATTTCTTCGCTTGCTTGTAAAAACTTTATATACTATACATACATATGTATGTGTGTACATACATACATGCATGTATGTGTGTTAAATGCGCACGTTTAAAGTTTTTTTTCCACTCACTGTGTGTAAATTTCATTAATGATTGGCTTTTATGCTTGCTGTTTTTGTTATCATATTTCTTTTTTTCTTTTTTGTCTTTCTGCACAAATGACAACACTGCACTCAGTAGTGGGTGGCCAACTGCATGGCCATATATACATATGTACATACATACATGTGTATGTGTGTGAGAGAGTGTGTACACATTTTGCATTCGAAAGCTGATTACAGTGGCAGGCATAAAAAGTGTGCATGTTGCTAGACGCTTGGCATCAGCAGGTGAAAGAGAGCTGAGATGCACTGTATTTTTTGCAGCATCTGTAGATAATGCATACACACATACATGTATACAAGTTTGCATGCATGTGTGTTGTGTATTTCTAGCAGTTTTTTTCTTGCTTCTTTTTTGCACTGTTTGGCAAGAGTCAGAGCAGCTCAGAAACTAGGTCATGCATAGATATACAACCATACATACATACATACAATACATACATGGTGCTCTATGTAGTTGTTTTGTTTTTGCTTTATTTAGTGTCTGTTTTAGTCGCCGTCACTGGGAGCGTGCGAATGTGTGTGAGGCTGTGTGTGTGTGTGAAGCAACAACAACAACCTGTTGCTTGATGAGTTTTCTAAACCACTTTTCAATTTAACTTATACCTACTACATATGTACATCTGTATATACATACATATACCCATATACATGTGTGTGTGTAATATCCCACTAACCGAAGATCGTTTGTTTTGTTTATTTTCCTCCCTACACCCACCCCATTTCACCAACAACAGCAACAAGCACAACAAACGCATGCAAACAGTCGGGTCCAGTATCGTGCCCACATGGACAACCTCAACATGCTAGGTGCGAGCAACCGCCAACCGTATTCCTATAACAATCCTGCGATCTCCATGCCCTCGGTCAACAACCACAGTGGACAGGGCAATGCCCCACCCCCGCTGGTGCGGTCGGCAACTGGACAAAATGCCAGTCACATGTAAGTGTAAACAATATCGTCGTTTAGCGTTGTCTCTCTGCCATGGCCGATTGCCATCGCAATCGATAAGTGGGCGCAGAAACAACGCCAAAATACTACATATTTACAAGTATTCTGCAATATACATATATATATTTTTTATATATACATATACTTTGAGCAATGCTTTATTACTTTTAAATGCGATAAATTTACATCGAAACATTTTCGTTTTAATAACTTTGAAAAAAAAAAAAAAAACAACAAACAAAACAAAAAAAGAAGAAAGAAGCAAAACGAGAATGTTCTGAAATTGTGTTTTTCAAATTTTGTTGTAATTCGTACTCTTTTTTTTTGAAATGAATATTAATGTTATTGTTTAAACATGCATACATACCTACGTGTTACTTTTCCACTCTAAATTAAGTTGAATTTCTTGCCACTAGGGTCTCACATTAGTGAAAGCAACAGTTTTTTTAAATGCTACTCTACTATGCACCAATTGATTTTGAATTTATTTATAAATGTAATGAAAACAAACGAAACAAAACAAAATGCCAAAAAAATTTGCCAGGAATCGGCGTTTGTGCACGCATTTTATTTAATTTGAAAGAAATTATGAACTGTGTTTACTTACCACGTTTTAAAAAATAAAAAAAAAAAACAAAAACGATTTTTCCAAAAATTATGAAAAATAATTAACCTATAAATTTGCTATCTATTCGAACTACTCATGCCACATTATTTTTCATAATTTCTTTTCTCACAAAAATTTCCATGTTTTTCTTATTGTTGTTGTAGTACACGAAAGACAAAAACCAACAGGAAAATGCTTATCATCATTAATTTACAAAAATCAGTTAACTTTCAAGGGTGTCACAACCGCATTTATGTTGTTTTTTCCTTTTTCTTCTCACACACACACACACACACACACACACACACACCCCCCACACTCACACACCGCACACAGACACACACAAATTAAATTCATGGCGCACACTACTATTAAAACCGTATGTCACTGACAAATCGAAGAATACCTTGAGTAAGCCAAGGCTTCCAAACCAGGACGTATAGTTTTAATTTAGAGTAAGAGGATATCAAGTTCCAACACGAAAAAGTTTAAATATAATACCAGTCCAGTTTTATATTGTGATGGTCTGTTTCCATATTTCTGTATTCAAAAGCTACGTCCGGCCGTAGGCAAATAATTTGCACGCAAATCTTTCGAATGTTGCAAGAATGTCATGGAAATGATGTTATTTAAATTAAAACTAATACGAATTTTATGTTAAAGGGTATTTTGGCCATTTACTTTTCGAAGCCTAATTGTAAAATACGACAAATATGTATGCAAATTATTTCCATATGAATAAAAATTAAATATTTAAACAAGGAACTGGGAATACAACAGGAAACTCATGCAAAAACCATTACAATACAGTAGGCATAGATTACGAATCGACCTCGCCCGACAATTCTGCTGCATCTGAAATGTCTTGTACAGATCTCTAGTGGATAGCTCTCGATAGTTTTAAACAAACACTTTTACCATCACAGCTTGTGGCATATGATTTGAGCAATTACAGGGCTTTAAAGCGCTTGACGTTTGCACCGAAAGAATAACTGTTTTACGTAAAACCCTCACATATATTTTGATCATATGTATATGTACATGCTAGAGATTAGACTGTTTAGACGGACAGAGAAGAAACGGTGATAGGAGAGGTGCTCGACTAAATGGGGCTGCACACCTTCAGCAGGTATCAATACTTTGCCAGCTCCATTACTATTTTCGTTCCATTCAGGTGACGGAAAAGGCAATAAAACAAGAATTTAGCAGCACGCGTGTTGGAAAAAATCATTAACTTTTGGACATAAGCTACTTGGGTGCCTAACACTTAATCACACCCATTTACACACATACCTACACACACACACACACACATACACACACTTGTACACATTTTGTGGTTAAATTTTGCTCATAAAAAGCTTCAATATTTGCATGCCCAGAACCTATACGCTTTTTCAATAAATTTCTTTTCGATTTTTGCTCGCTCTTGAAACTTAAAACAAGATGCATACGTATATAGTATATAATTTTTTGTAGAACTCCTTTTGTTCGTTTTACTTGAATTATTATCCGTAGCTTTTTTTTATTAAAAATATACATATATATTTTTCTTAAATTTAATGTTGTTTGCTTTACTCTCATTTGGTGAGATAAACGAAGAAGAAGAAGAAAAAGAAGAACTACAACATACTTTGAAAAACATGAATTATTCGCCTACAAAAGAATTATAATATATTTCCCCTATATACATATAATATATACCCATAGAGTTATATTGATGGCTGTGTAATATTGACGACTCCAAATATATGATAAACAACATATATACATAAGACTCGGGACATTTACAACGCACCACAGAAAACAATCTCAAATAAAAGCGGCAGCGAATTGTTGGCAAAATTTTGACCCGCCTATTCTCTCCCCCCACACACATACATGCATACTATACATATGTACATACAAAAAAGCATAGCACAAAATCCAAAAACCCCACAAAATAAACCAATAAGAAAGAAAAAAAAACAAATACATAAACACACAGTGAGCGGTCTAGATACATTATATATAATGCGTGTACAAGTTGATAACTAAACAGATTGTTGAAGTATGTCGATGTCTAAATGATATATTGAAGAGATAGAAGAAAGAGCACTTGCAAGGATTTATCCTTACAAAAGAGCTTTCAATATTATACATACATACCTACACACATACATACTACTATACATACAAGCTGTTAATTACATGCGAAAGCAAACCAAACCAATCACACACACACACGACACTTACACACACACAAACACTTTCACACACATATTAAACATATCATGTACATGCGCGCAAATTCCCGTTGAATTCAAATATGAGCAACTAACGGGTGTTGTGCAGTCTCGTGCTGTTGCTGCCAAAGCCGATGGTTATCGATAAATGTCCATAGAGTAGGCATTGTGCAAATAAGGCAGCACTGGCCCAGTTTGACATTAACCAACACTGACAGGCCGGGCTCAGCACCAGCATTGAGACTGCATTGCCGCCACTGACACCGACACAAAACAACAACAAAAAAATAATAAAAATAAAGAAAAGACTCTTAACTCTAACATAAATGTATTAGTTAAACCAAAAGTCAAAATAGTTCGACTAATTTTTAAAATAACAGCAAAAGTGTTTCACGGAAAAAGATGCTTGCAAGTATTCATTTAGAGAAAGAAAAGAAACGAAATTACAACAAAGTGAAAATAAAACGAAAAACCGAAAAACACCCGGCAATTAAAGCCATCGACTGATGATGTATTGTATATAATGTTTCTAGGTCTAATGTCGAGCAATCACTGGTGCAACAACAAACACAACAACAACAACAGCAACAACGACACCAAAATAGTACATTAAATCATGCACCCTCTTCCAATACCCACCACCACCACCACCACAACAGCAACAGCAATAACAACCATCACAACAACTCCCAGACCTCCATCTCTTCCTCCTCCTCTGCCTCCCATACAAACCATGGCAGTTCGTCCAGTCCCAGTCCGCAACAATTGCGCCAGAGCAATAATAATGGTTCTTCAGTCTCCAACAACAACAACACGTCCGTGTCCGCAGCAGCGGCTACAGCAGCCGCCGCCGCAGCAGCAGCGGCAGCTGCCAATATGCATGCCCTTTTCGGCAGTCCCTTCAGCTACAATATGCCCTCCACCCGTGCCGACTACACGAATCTGGCGCTGTGGAATCAGCTGACGCCCTCCCAGCGTTTGCTCTTCACGCAACAGATAAAAGGTGCTCAGGCTATTAGTGGGGGTGGTAGTGGTGGCGGTGGCGCCGTTGCGAGCTCAGCTCAAAAGTCGCATGCATCCCTATTGGGTGATGCCCCCACGTTTCCGCCTATACCATCGCTACCTTTAGACACGGATCTAATAACTATGTTGGACTATAATCCAAACAAGGCGAGTAAGAGCAATAAAGCCGCTGCCTCTGCATCCAACTCCTCGACGTCCGCCTCCGCTACAAGTGGTGGGGGTGGTGGCACGTTTACGAAACCAAATGTACCACCTCTTATACCAGACGGTGGTGCTGGTGGTGGTGGTGTTAGCTGCTCTATTGGCGCCACAACAATCACAGCGAGCAGCGGAAAGAAGCAGCGCAGTGGTGCAAGCTCTGGCACCACTATACCGCTCAATTCAACGCAGGCGCTGGAAGATTTTGAAAAGAAATTTAACATGACTGACGAAATGCGGGCTGTCATACAAAAGGTGCTGGCCAATCCCGATCTCTCCACATTCATCCAGACGAATGCCTCGCAAACATTTGTGCCTTACATGTCGCCACCCATGTCGCCGGCGATAAACCAAACAATTGGCGGCAATGTAACCACCCTCTCGCTGGCCTCTAATCCCAACGTGACAATAACGCCTCAATTGCCCGGACACTTCCTCCACTCGCCGTCTAGTTCGTGCAGCTCGTCGAGCGCCTCGACAACGGCGGCTTCGCCACTCGGCAATAGCAACAGTGTCGGCGGCGGTGGTGGTGCCGGTGGTGTTAATGGCGGTAGCTCTACAGGTGCTGCCGGTATGGCCCGACAAAAAAGTGTGATATGCTCGACCAAAACGAATTCACTGCCCCTGGCCATGCTCTCGTTGGCGACTAACTCCACACGCCATAAGGTGGGGCACCAGTCCAGCGGTGGTGGTTATTACCACCATCAGCAACAACAACAACAGCAGCAGCAGCAACAACAACAACAGCAACGCCAATCGCACAGCCATCAATATAACTCTTCCCTAGGCTCCATAGCAGGTGGAGCAACCACAACAATCACTCCCTCCACAACTCCCACAGAAGTAATTGATTTGTCTTCATCCCGAAGGTCGTTGCAAGCAGCCTCGGCGGCGTACCTGCAGCAGCAGCAGCAGCAACAGGTGGCGCAACAGCAGCAGCAGGCGGCGGCTGTGGCGCAACAACAACGCTTCGCAGCAGCCGCAGCCGCGGCGCACCATGCACAGAATGGACGGAGCGGCGGCGGCGGCGGCTCGGGTGGCTCCAATAGCGCCTCCATGCATCTGCAGCGGCATGCGGCGCACGCAGCCGCCAACAGTGGAGGTGACGGTGCCCAACGCCTCTGCGTCATACCCGAAATTCCCACGACCAGCATCAACATGCCGCCATACAAGATGCGCAAGATCTGTGTGGAGAAACATATGGTTCCCTGCATAAATATGAAGGCCTACAACGACTCTGAGCAGCTGATGACGCTTACCGAGTTCCAAAAGAACTTCTTTCCCTCAGTCCCCCTCGATCACTGCAAGCGTCTGATCGAGGCGTTAGGAGTCGAACTATACAAGGCCAATCGGTAAGTTACTAACTAATACTGTATATATGTATCTAATTATAGAAACTTCAGAGGAAAATCTAGATTCTTCTGAGGTCAGGAGAGAGACAGCATCTTGATATGTTTCCGGCACAGTCAGTTGTGCTTTTGAGCATTTATAGAGTCCTTACACTATACTGCATAAGTAGTAAGTTGAATGTGACATGAAAATGACTAAAATTAGTTTTAGTAGGGCTATACTTGTTCTTCTCAGATAATCCAACAAATAAGGGTGTTTAGTTGTTTCTTGGAATGTTGGTTTAGGTTTTAAGAATGATGTACAGTCCAGATATTATGTACATATATATCCATCTGACATCTAAAGTGTTTAGTATTTCTTGTACTTCAGGAATGAAATTGAAAAGTTGGCGAAATTGTGGTATCAGAATGATAAATTCTCTAATTATACGTTTTAAGCAAACCTTTCCGTTCGTTCGATCTCTAATGCTCTGTGATTTCTCTTCCATTTCCATTTAAATAGGCGTCAGGTGCAAGTTCTCATGGACAATGATAACTCCTATAATGAGAATATGCCGCTGGTGCAGGTGCGCGACATTATGAAATATATGACGCAGCTGACGTTCATGACACGCCATCCGGAGCAGCCGCCAACGAAAAGGACGCGCACGAGCTAGGAATTAAGCTGGGGAGCACAACATTCAACATCATCGAATACAACCACACCAACAACAACAGGAACAGGTACATCAACAGATACACAAGCCACCACCACCACCAACAACAACAACAACAACAAGCATCAATACAAGCAATCAGCGAGCAGCCAAATACACGACAACAACAATGTGCCATTGGCGCCACCACCGGCACCACTGCAGCAACATCAGCAGCAGCAGCAGCAACAACACCAACAACATCATCGTCATCAGCAGCAGCAGCAGCAGCAGCAACAACAACAACAACAACAGCAGCAACACTACCAAACACAATTACAACAACATTCGCAACCACAACAGCAGCAACAATCACCACAAGCACCACACAACAACAACAACAGCAACACATATGAAATGTTGTACTCCCACAACCTAAATGCAAATGCCGTGCACCCCCACCAGCACCAGCAGCATCAGCATCAGCAGCAGCTTACCGCAGCCGAGCACCAGCACCAGCAACACTACCAGCAGCAGCACCAGCAGCAACAGCACCACCACCAGTCCCCTCCTGCCCAGCAACAGCATGAACTGCAGCGCCAACAGAAGACGCATGCGCAAAAGCGTCAGCATACAGACCACCACAGCAGCAGTGGCAACAGTGGTGGCAGCATACCCGCCGCCAAGAGCAGCAAATCGGCAGCTCAGCAAATGGCCGAAGCGGAGCATGCCTATCTGGCCACGTTGTATGGCAAGGCGGCGGCCAATATGCTCAGTCCACCACTGAGTGCACCACACGCCGCTGCTCAGGCACCACACGCCTTCGACTGGAGCACTGCAGCCGCCGCCGAGCAGCAGCAGCACCAGCAACAACACCAGAACCAGCACCACCCACACCAGCAACAATTCCAGCAGCGCCAGAGACGCGACTTTTCGACTGGCAGCGGCAGCGCCAGCGGCAGTGGCGCAAGCACCACACGAGCTGCGGCCGCAGCTGCCGCCGCTGCTGCCCCAGGAATGCGTCAGCAGCGGCAGTCCATCATGCACAGAAGACACAGCATTTGTGCCGCTGGCATTGCCAGCCTCTCACCCGCTTCCTCCACCAACTCCTCCTCAGCGGCTGCCTCACCGACGGCAGCAGCTGCCGCCTTAGCCGCCGCCTCCTATTACGGCAGTGGTGCGGCTGCTGCGGCCGCAGCCGCTGCTGCTGCCGCCGCCGCCTTTACCGCACCCTACCATCATATGAGCGCCCATGGGCATCATCATGCGGCAGCCGCGGCGGCGGCGGCTCATCACGCACATGGCCAGCCTTCGCCGACCATTTATCCACCAACGCCGCCGCCCTCGGCACCGTGGGTGCATCCCTGGTATGCGGGCGATGCGTTCTGAGTGAGAGCAGCATCAGCGAGGGAAGCGGCAGCAGCAGCAGCAGCAACAACAACACCTAGATTGCCGCATTAACAGTTACAACTGCAGAGCAAAGTTATCGGCTTGTTATCGATTTAAAGCACGCACACACACACATGTATGCACCCGCACACATACATATGTATGTATAGATAGTGATCTAAAGTTATGTATTTACGAATGTTTTTTTTTGTCTTCTAACTCCTTGTCTAGCCCTTAAGTAGGTGATTAATTAATGAATTTTTTTTTAAGGCATCACATGCCAATAGCCTATGTACATACATATATTGTGCGTGTGTGTGTGTCGATGGCAACAACAACAAAGCTGATATTTATTGATATGTGAATGTAATTAACTGTAGTTGTAATGAATCGCTTTTAATTTCATTTTCATTTGTTTGCGCATTATGAAACAACAAATTGTTGAATGACAACTCAAAAGAACTGATTAATGATGACAACAACAACAGCAAGAACCATGCAAAAAAGGAGGAGACAGAATGAGAGAGAGAGAGAGAGATAGTACGAGTGGTTGAGAGAGTGGGCAGAGGGGGTGGGTGAAGTTCAAATTTTTAGTGTTAATATTATTAATTCCAAAAATTGCAAATGCAGCTAAAAAGCAGCAACAACAGCAATAACTACTACTAGTGTAGAAGAGGAAGATAAAGCTGTAGCACTCGTTCGCTGGTGTTTCAACTGACTGCATAATTAGTTTAAACAAATGAAACTCGTCTGTAGCAATATTTAAAATTAAATTAAAAAGCAGAAACAAAATAAAATAATGATCATAAATGCGGCAATAGTGGAGTTCATATAAAAGATAAAGTCAATAACTCTTAAAATTAAAAGCAAGAAATTTAATTTCTTGCCACCTAAATAAAGTGTAAAAATTCCATTTCTCTATACCTATATACTATATATAAATGTATACAAATATTTATAAACATATATATACATAGATATATGTATTTCGGTAGTTTAAGGATAAATTTAAAAAAGCGCTCGTTTGTTTGGCTGCAAAACTACAAACAACTGCAACAACAGCAGAAGGGCAAACCTAACTAATTTGTATATGAATAATTGTCATTTTCAAACCCTTAATAGGAAAACAACAGCAACAACAACCACTAAACAAATATGTTAAAAACATAAAAAGTTTGAGTTATATATATTTATGTATATGTATATGAAAACGATCGTTTGTCTACAGATATGTATTCATATATCAATTAGTTGATATATATGTATCTATATATATACATATGTGAATGAGTAATATCCGTTTTATGGATTTTTGGCAAAGAACAAGCAAAACTTACAAACATTTTTTTTTTTTATTTAAATTAGAATTAAGGAGAATATAAAATAGAGCTATATATATATATATATTTTTAGTTCTAGTTATTTATATATATTTGTATATGAAAACCAGTTTCTGTTATAAAGCTAGCAATAGATGGCGTTTATTTAATTGAAGAAAGAAAAAACATAAACAATAATTTAGTTCAGCATAAGGACTTGACTTGTGGCTGTTTAAAAATACGAAATGGATGGATTTGTTTGTTTTCCCCCTTCGTTTTATTTTTGTAAGTTCTTAGCAAGGGCCGCCGAAGTATTTATGAATAGGTTATTATTATTTTTTTTTCTAAACAAAAACAACAAAATACAAAACAAATACGTGTTAAAACATGCGAACGAAATACCAAAAGAATTTTTTAAATAAACTTTAAAGAAATGACTAACCAGCACTGTGTTTCATTTGTCTTCATTTCACTAAAACGGCCTATTAAGTTGGTCCCATAGATTAACATAATTATTGCACAATAGAGCTGAGAAATTTCGACGAATTCTATATTTTAAGGTGTAGACAAACCGCCAGGCTAGTACACATATACTTGTCTGCCTAGTACAAACGAACGCTCGGCTACTGCCTCCACAAATTCTACCGGTAAGCAAAACCGCACACCTCTCATATTTTATAAGCCCTGGAAAAAATGGGAGTTTTGAAACAGTTGTTGAATTTAACGTACTGCCGCCACTTGGCAGCACTAGTGCCGTTTGTTTTCAGTGTTGGTTAGTTGCTCAGTAATTAGTATTTGGCATTTTTATGGACATTTGGCGTATTGGATATTTTTGTCCAGATGGTAGTCGTGTGTACACACTGGCCTAACCAAAACGAGGCAAAAAGAAGCAACAAAATAAACAAAAACGGCGCAAATAAAAAACAAGTCACTTTTTGTTGTTGTGCTACAATTGACTAAAAATAACGCGCAACCCACGGCCCCGAGGCGTCGCCAAAGTACGTGAACGCAATGGGTTTTCCGCGCATTCTCAGTAAAAACAACAAAATCTACACAAAACTTGGTGAGTTCTGTCTCTCCGGCGACAGTTTCTGGATTGTCTGCCACACATGCCAGGAGGAGCTACAGACGCAGGATCAGTTCTGGAAGCACATACAGGACGAACACAATTTTCTGCATGGCATTGTCAAGGTGGGTACCAATTAAGAATTCATCTGCAATTATTTTGGCGCCCAAATAGCTTACGTTTTATTTACGATTCACTCACAACAAACAACAATACAAAATCAAACGCACACACACACACTCACAAATATACATACGCACACACTTACAGGAACACAATCGAGCAGCGAGTTATTGTTTGGCCGATGTGGAGGCAACAGGCGCCGCGCCAGGAGCGTCGGCACCACAGACTGCGGGCAGCGTTACGGCCGTAACATTGCCACTGGCTTTGTACCATTGTGCCACGAAGTACAGTGAGGAGGAGCAGCGCGAGGTTGCCGCCGCTGTTGAGCTGCATGAGGCACAACAACAACAGCAGCAGCAGCAGCAGCAGCAACAACACCAACAACATCAGCAGCAACAACAGCAGCAGCACCAACACCAGCAACACCTGCATCAACAGCAACAACAACAACAACAGCGGGATGCTGCCGAGCTGCAAGCGGTGGCAGCCGCCGCAGTGGCTGCCGCGGCCAATGAAAGCACACGCAGCAGCGGCAGCATTGACATCAAAGTGGAGCCCACAACGCTCACGTTGCCGGCGGAAATTCAAGCAGCGGCTGCAGCAGCAGCTGCCAATGCGACCATCTATCATTTGCCACAGGTGGTGCCGCAACCACCGCCGCCGACGGCAAGCTTTGTTAATGCAGCCGGAACCGCTAATGCATCAGTCAACACAACGTCGCCGCATGTAACGCTCTCAGCCACGCCCAGTGTCGTCAATGCGGGCACCAACACAGTGGGCACCGCCAGTGTCATGCAACAAACACAGCAACAACAACAGCAGCAGCAGCACAGTGGAGCTGGAGCGGTGGCGCTGCCAACGCTCAGCATGTCAGTGCCACCGTCGACAGCGATGACAGCAGCTGTTGTGGCAGCCGCAGGCATCCCACTGCTAACGACACAGGAGCTGCCGCCCAAGGACTCGAACAGCACGACGGCAAGTGCGAGCAGTGCCGTCTCCTCGGACGATGGTGAGCGGTGGTATGTGTGCGATTACGAGACCTGCGGGCTGAAGTTTAAATACAAGTCGCGCATGGAATTGCATCGGGTGGTGCACAGCAAGGAGCGGCGCTTCAACTGTGATCTGTGCGCCGCCTCCTTCAAGCAGTCGTGCAATTTATCTACGCATCGCAAAAAGAAGCATGCGCTGCGAGGCATCAAGAACGAGGTCATGCCGCAGCGTTTCTAAATTGATAGTCTCCCCACACATGCAATCCCCCACCACAACCAAGTCCTTCATCCCCAATCCAGTGTCCAACGAACAACTCCAATGTGCGTCGTACCGTATCCTTCATTCTACGCAGTGCAAGATTAGTTTGTATTTGTTTTTCCATTTATACATAAATCTCTCTCTCTCTATATATATACATATACTCATATATATATACATATAGAGGGAATATTTTGTTTTCCACCCTCGTTAAATAGATTGGGTATTATTTTACGATCATGTAACAGTTAACTATTCTAATAGTTTTAGGCGATGTTCGAATTGAGGTTATGTTAACCTTGTCTGGATAGATTATAAGAAAAGTAATTATATATATAAATATGTTTGCATATTAACAGAAATCTACCATAGATATAGTATATAGAGCACAGATGTACATGGAGATGGATCGATTTATGTGTATGTACACCTTTTATATAGTAGTTAAGAGCAGTGTCTACAGGTTAAATATAAATATATAAATATAATTACTATTATTAAGCAACAAGTTATGATGCCACGCGAAATCAACCGTAAAAAGAAGATGTAGAAGAAGAAGCCTCTAAGCATGTTTCAAATCGTTAGCTAGTTGTTAGCAATTTTATTTTTTTTAGTTATTACATCTGCAATTCACATATGTATGTATGTATCTATATGAGTGTTTATATATGTATGTACATTATACAATATATGTATACAAATAACAACCAACCATCAAACCAACCAACAACCAACAACAAAATACATAGCTTAAAAACTGTTCAATTGAAACTGTATTGTGCTGTGGCTCTCAAACTGTAAGATGGTCGGGTCTACGCTTTTATGACAGTTCATTTATGCCAGTGGCGAAATTTGCCCGTTATACCGTTAACCGTATAAGACACACTTGTGTATAACAGCTAATGAGCGTATCACACTTCAACAAGGCCATTATTTGCATATGCCAGTTAAACGCACCACTATTGTGTATGACAGCAGCAACAAGTATAGCAGTTGACTGCCCTCTCCTTGCATTTGTATGACAGTCGAATGCGGCGAATTGAAGAGCTGCACCGCCATAAAAGCGAGAGTGGGTTCGAACATTGGATAAATATGGCAAAAACAATGAAATTTTCATGTTTGAAGACAGCATACAAACTGATTTATTCGTGCATTCATTTTGTCAATTGATTGTTCGATTGATGCAAATCCATCAGATATGACTACAACATTCTCAATCAACAATTCGCTTTCCATATCTAAAGAAATAAACAAGTTTCTGATACAATTTTCAAATCATTTTGTTTCTATGACAGCTATATTGTAAAGTTTTGAATATACAAGTAGTTTACTGTTTTGAAGTCTACTTCAAAGCATTAAAAAGCTATGGCTGTAATTTTGGATCTACTATTTCCTATTTCCTCTAATAGTAGGATTTTGCTATCCCAGAGTGAATAGAGTGTTGCGTTGATTTCGCACTGTTTTCTATTTTAACTGAAGACGAAATCGCAAACATGGCTCATGAGTTTGGCTCAAATTCCGAGGCACTAGAGGAAGGTAAGTCGGAAACTCTCCCAATACAGATCAAGATTGCTTCGTTAAAGTTCTTAGAAAACTAAAATTTGTGCAAGAACTGTTTGTCATCAGCTCCTATTGGATGATCTGAGATAATTTGGATATACGTTACCCATTTAATCAAAAAGCACTCAAAAGCTAAAGAGAAAAATAAAAGAATTTTTCAAATAAATGCACTTTAGTGGAATGGAATAAAAAGTCTATAGCTCCTATATATGTACATTTTTTGTTGACCTCCTTTATACGGGGTTTTGGATTATCGAAGCATCCCGAGCATCCCGAATAGCCGAGGCTCAGCTGCTATCCATTAAAGAGTCAGATAAGCTACGCCTTTAAAGACTCCGAAATATTAAGAGGCTTTGTCCTCCAGCCAATGACCTTATGTAGCTAACTATCCTGACGACTATAATAAAAATCCATTGCCTGACAGTTGACTTCTAAGCGGACGAAGAAATTAGCTTTTCACATTACACTGCACATTGGTGCTGGATTTTTCCTGGCCCTGGAGCTAATGCGTGCTCTTGGCACTTGGCTTGTCACATCGAATGGGCATTAATGCCCAAGCAGCGAGCGACACATGCCTGCTTATCAGGATACTCAGCTCTTTCCTCAAATGCCAGGCAGCACAATATTTGCATACGAGTACGCATAACAAGGAAATAAGGCCTTTGCGACGCTTCAAGAGTGCCAACAAAAGCAAAACAACAAGCTAGGCCGTCCGCCAGTCCGGTCCGTCCGTTTGCCTGCACATCAAGGATTCGATAACGACGTGGATGCCGATGCCGATGTCGATGCAGGATGCGGGATGTGCGATGGCAGCCATCGCCCACTGGCCGTATCCGTTGTTGTTAACTCTGCCGCCCCCGTCCTGCCAATGCCGGGAATGCTGTCAAAAGCGCAATTCACAATGCAGTTTCACGCCCCGACCCTCAAGTGCGAATTATTGAATGTCAATGCCATTAATGTCAACGTCAGCGGGACCAGTCGGCGGCGAGCGAATTGGACGGCTCGTCAGCTTCCGAGAATTTATGCAAACGTCGAAGCGTCTACCCATCCCATCCCATCCCTCCACTCGCCCCAAGCACGCATCGAGAAAACTTTTGAAACGGATGACGGGCGGCTCCATGCGTGTGTGTGTGTGTGTGTGTGTGTGTGTGTGAGGCGTGTGTGAAGGATGCTCCAGGCTCCAATGTATGCCACAAATTGCGGAAAGATTGTTGCAGCATCAAGGAAATGTGTATCTCTCCATCGGCCGATGGATGATTTGCATCAGAATTTGCCCCATTCAGAGGCATAGTCTGAAACGCGCTTGCAGCGCAAAAATTTTCCATGCTATCCCCAAACATGTTTACTGCATGCCTGCAGTTCAAAATTTGGCACAAGTTTGTCGGCCAACCGGCCGATGTGAACGAAAAATATTTCATAACATGCACAATCATGCTTAGCATTTTTGCCGTAAAAGTCGAAAGTTTGCAGTCAAAATACTTTTGCAATTTCCTCAGCTCATTCCGGCATTGTTCGGCGGCCTTGAAAGTACACTCTGTGTCCACCGTCGCGTCGCCGTTCATAAATTCCAAATTCGACCAAAGGCAGAGAAAAGTGGACAAATGGAGACGAAAAAAGAGGAAAAAGCGAAGCAAAAGACTAGCATAGACAAAGAAAGGCGACGTTAGACAAAAACAGACAAAGTCAGACAAAGTTTGGCAAAACAAATATAGAAAAGGAAAGACAAATGTTAGTAAAGGAGAAATGAAGATAGAAACAGAAAAAGGACAAAAATTAGATAAACGGAGACAACGAAAGACGAATGTAAATAAAAGTTAAGAACAAGGCAAGATAAAGAAAGAAAATTGTTAATAGCGACGAAAGAAGAGGCAAAGCAAAACAAAAGACTAGCATAGACAAAGAAAGGCGACGGTAGACCAAAACAGACAAAGTTTAACAAAACAAATATAGAAACAGAAACAGAAAAAAGGACAAAATCAGATAAACAGAGACAACAATTGACGAATGTAAATAGAAGTAAAAACAAGGCAAGATGAAGACAGAGAATGTTAGACAAGAAAGGCGGCGAAAAACAGAGACTGAAGAACACTATTTTGTTCCTCTCTCCCCCATAAATGGATATCTCTCATAACGGTGGGTGTCTGCCTATTGGAATGCTTTTCACTGCATAGAGTATGAATGAATGATGTTTAACATTTGCCCTTCATTCCTTCATTCGGTTAATGACATAAGCCGATCGTTCGAGGAGTAAATGCAAGCAGCACGACAAGAAGCTTAACGCTTTATAACTGCAATGCAATCGGCTGTCGGAGGGTCATCCACGCGGACTTTTCAAATTTAATGAATGTCAACGCACGCACACAGATACAGATGCAGACACATACACACATACTCGCAGATACATAAGTACAAATATGTATGTACATATGTATGTATATGGTTGAGTGAAAAGATGTTGAAAGCTGAACGAAGAGGGAAAAGCGTAAATGAAGCGGAAATTGAAATGTGTGCCTGAGCTGTGTGTGTAACTTACTAGACTTTTGAAAGGTTTTTTGTGTCAACGTCTGCTTCGCTTTGTATACAGATGCATACACATATATGTACATACAAGTATATGTACATATGTACACGCATCCACATATGTAAGTGATATGCATACATATGTACATACAAATTATTTTGGAGGGCGTCTCATTGCGTTCAATGAGTTGTACGACGACTTTAAGATTCGCCAAAATTTTGATCAGTTTTAAGGCAACTGGGTATAGTAGCTCCTTAATAGACTTGTCACTCGAATTTGGCTAAAACACAAGATTTGTAATTTTTTTTTAACTTATACAAATACTGATTAGCAATCATGGATACACCTATATGTTATTAAATTACAATCGTTAAAGATATTAAATAATACAACTATTTTAAATGTTCCCGTTTAATTATTATACGTGTTTTTGAACTTAAAGCCCATTTCTAGCACTAACCTTGCTCTCATAAACATACACACAACTCATGTGGCCATATGGCAGTACTGCAGGCATTGAACAGTGGAAATAATTTTTGTTTAAGTGTCTACAAATATTTTGCTGAATTTTGAACACACATGTGTTTTTAAAATCTGCTTGACCATTCCCAGAAGTCCAATTGCGGGGCTTAGTTATTGAAAATGAGAATCAAAGAAAACTTTGCTAAATATTAGGAAGTAAGAAACTGGGCCTCGCGAAAGACTGCAACTCACAAAGCTTCTGATATTAGTTCTGTTTCGAAGGAAATTAGTCTGCTTCACTAAAAATCCACCAATCAGATGCGAAAATATGTAGAATATATACTTATATATTTAAGAAATTCATTTTCAATACTCACAATGTTTTAGAAACATATAAAAAAGCCGTGCGACAGGGATCGTTCAAAAAGGCAACTTTGTAAAATTGTCAGATGAATAATTGTTGACTATTTGTTTATATTAATATTAATTATTAATCAATTAATTATTAATAAATGTACCTACATGTGTGTTTCGGTTGACGAAATTGTTCGCTCATTACATTAAGAAATTGAATTTTGCTCAAATAAACCACTGTGCTGGATGCAGAGAATATGACATTTATGAATAATGCCGCAACGCCCGATGCATTATTTATTAGGCAGCAACAAAATACGCGAAGGTCGCGAACTACATGCACACCTAGCCTACATATACATACATAGATGTCCGCCCTCTGCCATCCTATTAATTATTAATGCCTCACTTCAGTCATAAACAAGCTGCACGCCTTTTGACGCAACTGTACTCCCGAGCGCATTAAAAATGTAAATATCTGTTGTAGCACGTCAATGCGGGACTAGACGGGACTCTGAAAACCTATACCCATGTGGCGAATTTAGTTCCCAAAAAAAGCAGTCCAGGTTCAAATGAGGCTTTCAAAATGGATGCACTGAGAATTGGAGCGCGACATGTTCAATTTTGGAGAGAAGCGACGCAACTCTACTCTAATTTTCTGGCAGCAGAACAGTTGCCGCAATGCCAGCACTAATTAGGGAGCGAAACAAACACATCACACCACACACAGCCTTTCCCTCTCTCCCTCTCGCTCTCACTCTGTTCCTATCTCTCCACTCTACCACTCTGTCGCTCATCAACTCTGTGTGTTGGCAACAGTGGAAGGCTGAAATCAAATTGAAATTCTTGTTGTTGCTGGTGGCGGCGCGTTTTT